AAAAGAAAACTAACAATACATGGGCGCCCAAGATCAGATCAAAAACAAAGAGTCCAACTTTTCTGGGACTCTTCCCCGTACTCCAGTTCTTCCTGATGACCTTGGTTCCATTCTCATGCCTAGTAGCAATGTAGATGGACCTGATCCTTCAAACGACTTTCGCATAGTACATCGCATTGATTCTTCTCCTCAAGTGGAGATGATAAGTGGGATTGTAGCAGAAGATTTGGAACAACCAAGTGATGCCAAAGAATAAAATCCTTCTGTTACTGCAACATCTGATATTCATGGCAGCATAGATTCACTTATTTCGAATTTGATTGAGACTAGCATCAATACGATAAGGAGGGAGATTGAGAAGGCATCTCCTAAGGCATTGATTTTGGGTAAACAAAAGATCGAGGATACAATTAGTTTGTTAAAGGGTATGGCCCTTCAGTCTCCTTTGCGGCAATCTAAGGTTGAATCTATTATCAAGAACACCCAAATCATCATGCAACAAGCTGTTGAAATTGAGGAGTTAGATGATATTATTCGAGCAGGTCCAAATAGAGACATGCTTCATTTTGAGAAGGTATCTTCTCAACATCAGGACTGCTTGGAACAAATTAAATAGGTTAATGAGACTATTGGGACTTTGGAGAGAAGTTTGGATATCAAGAATTCTTATTTGATTATGTTAGAGAAGGAGCTCCAAGAGATTGAAGATAAAGCCAAATCCTTAAGAGAGAAATTTGAAGCTGATAAGATATCTAAGTTAAAACTTCAAGGTGACATTGAGGCCTTGAAGCAAGAATTGGAAGGGCATGAAAAGGCCGAAGCAGAGCTCAAGATAGCAAAGCTTGAAGCTAGTGGAGACATTCTTGTTGAATTTGAAGAAAAGAAGAAAGCCAAAGCTTCCTTACTAGAGAAGTACTCCTCTTGGGGTACTCTTTTTGATGGTGCTTGACGCTTTGTTTTTTTTTTTTTTTTTGATAAATAATGAAGAGATTTTTTTTAGGGAATGTTTATCATGTTTAATGAAGTACTTATTTACATTTTTTTTCCAAGAATGACACCCTTTTTTTATTTTGATTTTTCCGTTCACAGTTTAAACTTGTGCGGGCCCAGAGTATAACATCAATATATGTTTAATAATGTTGTGGCTGCACCTATATGTGTTGGGCTGCCTTGTACCCGTTTAGGGATAAAGCCAACGTAGTTCATGTTCTACAGTTTAACCACATGAGAACAAATGGTTGGACATCCTTTTTTTTGCTTATCTCAATAGTTTAACCACGTAAGAGAAATTGGTGGATTGTCTCATCAGTTTAACCACATGAATTTATGTGGAGGTTAGAGCAACCTCCCCACTCTTCATACGTGGGGTGGTTGCTTAACTTCCCCCACAACCAAAACAACTTAAATTTTGAATTTATGTGGAGTGGGCCAGCTGTCAAGTCTGCCCCCCCCCCCCTTCAAGCTTTATATTTATTTATATTATTTTTTTTACATCGTATATTTTTAATCATAAACAGATTGCCCCCTCAAGCCTTATCTTCTTATCTTGGTGATAAGGTTAAAGGAGACAAGGCTTGACCTTAGTCCTTATCACATGTAATTCAAATTTGAATTACCTTCTTGGGATTATAAATTCCTGTTTCCATTGTATAATTTTGTCTTTTGCCAAGTAAGACAAGTTTGGGGCATTACTTTTCTTTGAAGCTACTCAAGTAAACTGCTTTCCTTTTTTTCTTTCTCCCCTTCTGTTTCTTTCTTTTTTTTTTTTTTACCAAGAAAAATACCACTTTGATCATCAGTTGGTTTTCCTTGGACTTAATAGTTTTATTTTGGGAAGGGTCAACTTTCCTTGGGCCTTATGGTTCCATTTGGGAAGCTACCATTTTGATAGCCTCCAGCTGTCTTCTTTGGACTCACAGTTCCACTATGGGAGGACTCGGCTTTCCTTGGACCTTATGGTTCCATTTGGGAGGGTTATCTTTCCCTTTGTTTGGAGCTATTGGTTCCAACCCCTATGAAAACCAAAGTAGAGTTTAAAGCTCTTTGTTATATATTAGGACTGATTATAGACTTCAAATCCATTGATTGTATGATTTCTTTGCAAATCTACCCATATATGGCACTAAAAATTTTCCTTTTAAGTTCAAAACATTAAAGTGGGCCATGCCCACTATCAAATCAAATTAGTGGGTCCCACTTGTTAGTGGAGCCCACTGTCAAAATATTTCAGTTTAAAATCTTAAAGTGGGCCATGGCCACTATCAAATCAAACTAGTGGGTCCCACCTATCAAAATATTTAAGTTTAAAATCTTAAAGTGGGCCATGCCTACTAACAAATCAACCTAGTGGGTCCCACCTATCAGTAGGGCCCACTGTCAAAATATTCAAGTTCAAAACATTAAAGTGGGTCATGCCCACTATTAAATCAAACTAGTGGGTCCCACCTGTCAGTGGGGCCCACTCTCAAAATATTTGAGTTCAAAACATTAAAGTGGGCTATGGCCACTATCAAATCAAACTAGTGGGTCCACCTGTCAGTGGGGCCCACTGTCAAAATATTGAAGTTTAAAATATTAAGGTGGGTTATACCCACCACCCAACCAATATAGTGGGTCCCACTTTTTACCGATTAACGGGACTCACTATTAAGATGTATAAGTTTAAATACATAAATACCCAATGGTGTATGGGTCCCATGACCTATCTACCAATTGTGGGGCCCACTCATGGGTATAACCTGCTAAGAGTCCAAGCTGATGGGACTGCTTATACCTGTTATTGGGTTTAACCCTTACAAAGTAGCTCTTTCACATAAAATCAAAATCAAAGGGTATTTCCTTCAAGGAATATAATTAAGGGGTTTTAGCAAACAGTGTGCATACTTATACACCCTGAATAGGGAAACCCTAATTCAACTCAAGTTTTTTTTTATGAATTATTATCAAAACACCTTTCTTGTAATTTCTTTTTTCTTTTAATGAAAATTTTATTTTGTTACCTCTTGTAGAATTAGGACACAACTAACTTAAGTACAAATGCACTACTTCCAATGGGCAATCCAAGTGCTTGAAAATGTTATTGTTTCGGGATGCCAATGCTTTGCTGTGGTATTTATCTAGAATTTATCAGAGGCTGCAGAATGCTTCTTATAGAATTTGGACATTTCTTGTCAATTGACATTGAATACCCACACTTTAAAGAATGTTAAATTATGATCCTTAAAACATGACACTAATGTTTTTTTTATTATTATTGGTGACTGTAATTTTATTGAGCCCAATGTTTTAATAGCAAATTATGACCTGTTTGCTCTTCTTCAAATTCCAAACGTATTGCAGAAAGTTGTCTATTGATTTCCAGCTAAAACATCCTACTTATAAAACTTTGATTATAATTCTGGAAAAAAAAAATCTATCTGGTGAATCTGTATGAACTATTAAGTATGAACATGATTTCAACCTAGTCAGCCATCTATATCTTACCAGCAAACATATCCCAAAAGTAGTATTTTTTTACCCTCTTTACCAGTTCAGTTTGGTTTTTATAGACTCAAAAAATAACTAACATTTCAAATGCAGCTTCCAATTTTGTTGTCTTTTTGGTTGTTAAAATGATGTATTTCTATCTAGATGTTAAGAATAAATAACAACCATTAGCTCTAAATAAGACACTACTTATACCAAAAAGTTTGTCATCAAGTTCATCTTCATACAAATTATATGTTGCTTTGCTTCTTTAGTTAGTGCTATGGTCATATATCAATGAAAATGGATGGGATATATTGGGGGAATACAAATTATAGTCTTTTTGCAGTTAGATATCAATTATAACAATGTAGAGTTACCAGGGGAAAAAACTAAGACAAGACTGAAATACTTCTTATACAGTAATACACACTTAAAGCTGAGGCCAAAAGAAAATTTTATTGATTTCAACTTTACTTTCATTGGTTGCCTAACATAAATCATGCAGCTATGGAAAAGTGAGATAATACTAATATAGTTCTAATTTTGTTTATACTGAAAAATATCTGAGAAAAAAAAATCTTTTTGCAGTTATATATCAAATATAACAATATAGAATTACCAGGGGAAAAAACTAAGACAAGACCGAAATGCTTCTTATACAGTAATACACACTTAAAGCTGCGACCGAAAGAAAATTTTATAGTTGTCAACTGTACTTCCATTGGTTGACTAAGGGCCTGTTCGTTTGCTCTGAAATCTGATATCTGAAAGTGCAATAATTACATTAAGAGGTATATTGGTATTAGTGAACTTTTCTTTCCTCTGAACTCTTAATGTAGAGAATGCTGTTCTGAATTCTGAAAATTATCAAATATCCATTTTGGCCCCATATATGAGAGTTTTTGTTTGTCTTTTTGGGGGTATCATTGGAAAACAAAAGGTTGTATGATTGCACTTTAAGAGATAAAAGAAAAGAGGAAACGAACAACCATTTTTCTCTTAAAGTTAAAAGAGTCCTCTAAAGAAATAAGAGTTAAGAGGAAATGAACAGGCCCTAACTCAAATTGTGCAACCATGAAAAAGTGAAATAATACAAACTAATACAATTCTAATTTTGTTTATGCGGAAAATATCTGAGAAAAGTATACAAAAAAAAAGAGAATTATGGAGATGACAGCCTTCAACCTGTCAGTGAGGTACAATTATGGTGTAAAATCTTTGTATGGATCTTAACTAACCTATTTCATACCCAAGATTATAAGCTTCTATTACTATAGAGGTGATCTCTTCTAGTTCTTTTTTTTTTTGATCAATAACAGGAATCTCTTCTAGTTCTTTGTTTTCCTCTTTTGAATAGACTTGCTTTATATCTGTATTATCAATTACTAAGGACATCATCAAGCTACCTTTTCTATATTGTTTGTAAGTTATTTGGCATGTATAGACTATACACAATATTACATGCCATTAGTGTTATTTATTTATTCTAATTGTTGCATTGAATAACTAGTAAATGTGAATGAATTTCACAGGAATCTTTGAAGCCACTTCTTTGGAACGTATCAGGAAAGATTCTGTTCAACCATCAGATATACCGGAGGGAAATTTTGAGAATGAAATGCATATTCCGTCACTTCCAACTTAACTTGAAGTATGCTATCTGATTAGATTATATAGAACAATAGTTATTGGTTTACTGTAGTTGCAAACTGATCTAAGTTCTTCCATTTGGGATCTACTGATTGCCACGCTGTGTGTAAAAACCTATGTAACTAATCCAGTGATTTAAAAGGCGCGCATCAGGCGCACAGGTAGGGCTGTTCACGGGTCAGGTTGGGCCAGTTTATTAGTGTTTTTTCAACCGACCCAACCTGGTTGGGTTACCTATAGATTAAACTGAAACCGACCCTCTATTAAGTAAAACCGACCTGGTTGGTTTGAGTCGGTTTGGGTTTCAACCAACTCCAAGCTTGCACAATGCACATGAACTCAAAGTACTAATATTATATATAATATTTCAGAATATATTTTCTGGAAATATATTTAAAACTGAAATATATATTTAAAACTAAAACATATATACAAATATATTGGAATATATATTTTCTAATTTCTAGAAATATATATTTTGGAAATATATATCTGATATATTTCAGAATATATATTTTTTCAGATATATATTTATTATTTAAAACTAAAATATCTATATTTTACAGATATTTTTTCAGATAACTTGGTTTGGTTCGGTTCGGTTTACTCATATTTGTAGCCTGAAACTGACTGGTAGTGAAGAAAAACCGGTCGACTCGGGTTGGGTCGGGCTGGGTTGGTCGGTTTGGATTTATTTGTGAACAGCCCTACGCACAGGTGAGGCGCATTTCAGGGTAGGCACCTTCCCCAGGTCCTAGGCGCAGCCCTTTTTGTGTGAGAACTAAGAATTTAAGACCTAATATGGACTTGTTTGGGCTTGCCTCGAGGGGTGTGGTACAAAGGCAGCTTGTAGAATCAGGAATGTAATATGTTTTACATCACATTAGCTACTTGAAGTAATGCAATTGAGAAAAAAAGAGATTGTGGGTTTTATATGCTTGAAAATGTTTTATATATTTGATTTTATTTTTAAATTCTCATTTGAATATGCTTTACATAGTATATTTATGTATTTTAATATTAGATAATAGGTTTTTAAAAACATTTATTTTAAAATCAAAGTTTATATTTTTATTAATATTATGTTTAATACTTTTTTTATTATTTGCATTTTTTTTATTTTTATCCTTTTTTTTTTTTTTTGCACCTTGCTTAAAAAGGTGCATGCCTTGCCTTGCGCCTCAGGTGCAAATTGACCCTTGTGCCTTGCACTTTTAAGACACTGAACTAATCACAAGTGAACATGCCAGTGTTCTGTACACATGGGACCCACGCTCATGTTTACAGAGCACTGGTGCCTTTTACACAGCGTGGCAGGCAGCAGATCTGGGCTCAATTTCTTTCATGACATGGGAAGCCAAATCTCACACTTACGTTTATATAGTAGCTTTCCAATGGCATGTTTATACAAGATTCATTAAAAAGTTGAACGGGCTCTGCCAAATGTATAAGGATACTTTGTCTGGTCAGACATTCTTTTTGAGGCTTCGTTGAAGGTCTACAGAGGGGATTTTATCATTTACTGATAAAAAAAGCTTAGGTCTGCAAAGAATTCAAATCTGTAAAATAGAAGAAACTGAAACATGGAATCTCCATCTTGCCCTTAATAAGTTGAGAGATATGTCAATACCCCAAGGGTATTCAATAACTTAAAATTTTTATTCCATGAAAAACAAATGGGAGTGCATCTCAGGTGACAACCATGTAGCTAGTAGGGGTGGATTCTAGCCAAGCTGAGCTGAATATTTGGCTATTTGAGCTCGGCCTGCTAGAATATGTGAGGCTCAATCTCGATTTGAGCTAGAGTCTTGAGCTCAAATCTGGCTCAACTCAAAAGCTCATAAATTCTGTCTCAGCTCGAGCTCGACTATGAGCTAAATTTCCCATAAAAATAATGAATTATTTTTTATTTTACATATAAAAATTTAACTTTTGGCTAGTCCCCTAGTTTTATGTACCATTCAGCATGTATATTAATTGAAAAAATAGCAATTCTCTTTATTAAAAACATTAAATTTCTTCTAAAAATGTTTTATATATATTAATTTCATTATTGTCAAAATTAGTACTACTATAATAAGGATTTAATAGAGAAATTTCATATCAATTAGCAGCTAAAGAAGGTTAACTTTATATAATAAATATTCAAGATGGAAAGTAAAATAGGAAAAAAAGGAAGGAGTTTCTGTTTTATTTAATTAGAGAGAGAGAGAGAGAGAGAGAGAGAGAATAGAAAAAAAAGAAAAAGAAAACAGAACCTTGGGCTCCCTTCATAGTGGAGCTGCTTAATGCTTGACTGATGCAAATGCAAAGAACTAGTGACAAGGGATTGCAGTGTCTAATACCCAGAGTTTGAGAAGTTTGTGTGAGATGTCCCATATAACTAAAAAGGTTGAAGTAGTGGTGCAAGCTTGGATTCGGTTCCTCTTTCTGTAACCAAGGTTCATTTTTAATAGTCAAGGAACTTCCAATTTGCATGATTATGTCTTTTCCATATCTATTTTTCAAAAGATCCCAGCATTCCCACTTCATATTTTTAAATCAATTAATTCATTAGCCACATGCATCCCGTCAAGTATTTTCTCCCTTTGACAAGCACACCTGTGACTCAATTCATTCTCAACCTTTATATTATTTTTTTTTACCTTAGATTTTATCTTCTACTCACTACAGCCTTAATTACAAAGATTTTTAATATCCATGTGCTATCGTTGAGTTTATTTGTATTGGATTATCTTTTGGTCCTGTTATGTGTATATAGTATGTCTAAATGTCTAATTGGGAAAAGATGCCTTTTTTTTGTTGTTGTAAATGGGACTTTGCTGCTTTCATACTTCTGCACCTTGGTACAAAAAACTATATTTAATTATTGAAAGATATCTGCTAATTTTGCAATTATTATCAGTCTGTTGGTTGACTTCATGAAAATTTCAATCATTGGCGAAATTTTGCCAAATATCCCAATGGCAACCATTTGCAGCAGAAAACCTGCACTGGTTTCTTTTAGTCTTTTGATGTGAAATTTGTTCTTTTATGCTAACTGCATTTTCCAGTGTTGTATGCTTTATCAGGTTGTTGCTGGTAGTTTCTCCAGATATCATTTAAATTTTTTACATTTAACTGAATAACATTCCTTGTATAGTTGTATTTTATTGAAATTCATTCCTTTAAGCTGGTTTAAAGTTTGGTTATCATAATTGTAAATAGGCCTTGACTTTTTATCAGTATGACAGCATGTGTGATGTGTAACTTGTTCGACTCCAGTAAATTTACCATTGCATTACTGTTGATCTAATTCATCTTCCTTTGTTGTTTTCCTGTGTCAGTGGAGGACTAAAAATAGGAGCACAACCGTTAAAAAACTTCCCCCATCCTTAGGTTTTATTAGGACTGGGAGCTGAGCCGGTATCTTTTCTTGTTAGGTTTTAAAACATTGATTGTTGTTCCTTTGTTCTTTCAAGGGGAGCCATTGCTCTTGTTGTATGTACAGTAACTTACAGGCTGAACCTGCTTGGAATAATTAATTGATCATATCATTCACTTTGGATATAGCTAGTAGCTATATTTTCCTTCTCGACCTCCAATATTTCCTTGTTTCTCAGAATTATTTTCTTATACTCTCTTGTCTTGAGTTTACAGTGGATGGGAGATATTGTCAGAACAGAAGTGATCTAGTGTCTTGAACTTGAACATTTGGCCATTGGAAAGAATGCTGATGCAGTGTTCCTATAATTTTTTTAATTAATTCGAACCGTTTCATCATTTTGATATATTATTATATCATCAAAGAATTAGGATAGATATCTAAAAGACTGAACTTATAATGAGGATAAGAGTTGCACATAGAACCAAGGAGGCGGTTGACCGTTGATTAAAGGAGCCGTTAAGTAACGGCTGAAGTTGCTGATCTGAATGATTTATTTCTTTAAGTGAACAAGTCATTAAGTAGATTTTCAGCTCCGAATTAGTGTTGGGTTGATATTGTAGAGTGGTAAGCTCCCTAGTGAGTAATGGATGAATGGCATGTTGGTTGATTTTTATATCCTCGAATTCTTTTCCGTAACTATGTCATCCATGAAATAGACAGCAATCATTTAGATCGGCGCCGGCCACTTCATCCTTTATATGAATCGAATTTAACTATTTTCATGAGACAAATAATACAAAACCCAACTTTTTGACTTACCGTGTGGATGGTAGATTGGTGGATCTGATTTAGTTTCGGAGTTTGAAAAACTTAACCCAAAAGATAATGTCTTAGACCCTTAAATAAAATACATGTATAATTGCCTCTGCCCAACTGCCTCCCTTTTCTTTCTCTTCTGCTTAGGGTAGTCCATATTGATTGATACTTATTTCATAATAACCAAAAAAATAATAAATTATAAATTATCATTAAAATTAATATCTTTAAATATTAATAAAATTTATAGTAATTTTCTAATCGTATCCATGCACTTTTTTTTATCATTTTCCATGGTCTCCCAAATATATCTTGTATAGGTTCAAGAAAGGCTATATTTGGTTTGTGGAAAGATTTAGGTGGGATGGGAAGAATGAAATGGGATGAGAAAGTGAAAATAGGTTTACAATTTTCATGTTCTATTGTTTGGTTGCAAAAGAAAAGCAAGGGTGCTCGCATTTTTTTTCCTAATTGAAGTATTGAACTGAAACTTTCGGTTAAAAAACCCTCTTCTTTCCCTAAATCAAAGAAAACAACCAACTAATATTTAATTTCCAACAAAACAAAGATCTACAATAACATTTCAATAATATTTATCTAATTACAACAAAACAAGTAAAGTCCTGTTTGGTTTACGAGAAAAGGGGTCTGGAATTGGAATCGGAATGGCCCATTTCAATTCTAACTCTTCGGTTGGATAGAATTGGAATCCCATTCCCATTCCTGTTGGAATGACATTCCCTCATTGAGAGAATGATCATTTTCTCTCTCTCCCTTGGGAATAAAATCTCATTCCAGCTAATTTTAATTACCATTCTGATGATCAATCAGACTATGGGAATAGACCATTGCTTAAATAATATTATATAATCATTACTAATTTATAATCCAACTTTACAATTCACACATTCCACAATGGAGTTAAATGCAATCTCTATATGCAAATAGAATATAATCTACAATCAACCCAAAATCAAGACCAGTTATCCCGATCAATTTACATAGGATAAACCCGTGAATTGTAGAACTGACCTGGGTGGATATTGGTTCTAAGAATTTAAAACGGACCTTATGGGTTAGAACCAACCTAATTTGACATCGATTCGAATCGGTTTCGGGTAGAACGAAGCCCCATTTGCTCATCCCGAAGAGTTGGACTTTATTGTATCAGTTGTGTGTCATGTGCGTCGAACGGAGGAAAGTAGAAAAGAATTGACGCTTCTCCTGTTGGTTTTCACGCCAACGGGTGCCCCAACGTATCCCCCTCAATTAAAGGTTAAAACATCAACCGCTGGTGTGTTCATGTTTAATTGGGGTTTGCAGGAAATCTTCTTCCCTGAGCTGAATCTGAATCTGAAATAATCTCATCTTGAGGAGAGATGTTGCAGGCTCTCCTTTCCAACTCACATATGGCGGCACTGGTCAACCCGTGTACTAAATCCAAGTGCCATCTCAGCCGTCCAACCACAGGCGTTCGGTTCTCTCGCCAGTTGAACTGCCGCCAATTTATCTCCTCACAACGTGTTCGATGTTTTCCCTCTGTGAGGAGCGGTATTGTGCCGGCATTTGATTTGCAAGGTGGCAAAGGGTACCTACCTACTCCTAACAATCTCTTTATTGTCGTTTGTTTGTCAAACCTTCGCTTCTAAATCTGCTTTCATGATCAATGATTCTAAGCCATCTTTGAGGTCCCATGTATATTTCTTTTCCTAAACATTTGGGTGGGGAGGGAGGTCTTTTTCTCGATTCATGAGTTTTCTGTTATTGATGTTCAGTTATTCATCGGGTTCCTTGGTTTGTTTCTTTTGGAAAACGACTAATGAAAGGATGTCTTTTCTGAAGGAATGTAGTTTTCAATTCGTACCCATTTCTTATTTTAGCCTTCGTTACAATGAACTCATGGGTTTATTAGGTGTTGAGTGCCACCCGATTCATATTTCTTGCCTTCCCCACTCCGCCCTGCTGATGAATGCATGTACGGATTCAAGCGTTTCGGTTTCATTTTTCTTTGAACATTTTGTCAGATTTATTTTTCTTGCCGTTACCTTTTCCATGATTCCATCTTGTTTGAAGGTTAATTCATCGAATTGAGAATTCAATAAAAACTGTGTGGCGCTTATGAGCAGAAAAATTTATAAGCCTTGAGACATTTGACTCTATATTTCTGTTAACTTGTTTGTGAAATGTATTGGTTATAACTGCAAATATGATTTAAAAACATGTCTCATTTTTTCTGTCTTTCCAGAATGAGTAGGTTCCTTGATGTTGAGCTTAAAGTTCGTGACTACGAACTAGATCAGTATGGTGTTGTAAACAATGCCGTCTATGCAAGTTACTGCCAACATGGTAAGATTTTGGTTCAAGTATTTTGGGATTAGATCTTTTCAACTTGAGGGCCTAGGATCTTGTTATTCCCAAATTTCTAGCAACAAGTACTCTGCTTCTTTTAACCTTTTTGTTCCTTGAGCTTCTCAATAAGTAGAATGTATTTTCAACAAACAAAGTTTCTTTTTAAATTCAGGTTTCAGTGTGTTTGAAGCAAACACTAGTGGTTGGCTTTCCTTGTGGGGGGACCTCTATAAAGGGATTAGAGATCCATCATATGGATGGCCAAACCCTGTAGGTAGGTTCGGCGAAATTTCAAAAATTTCCTCTCCCCTCATCTTGGAATCACATTCCCTCGTTTTAGAAAATCTGCATTTTCAATGATCAATCTTGAACCATAAATCAAACCAGATCTGAAATCAGAAGTAGGAGAGGGATATACCTAATACGGAGAAGCAGTATCTCCCAATGGAGGTGTTCATGCCCAAGGTAGGAACCAAAGACTACTCCCACTGAAAATGGCACAGTGTAGGATGGAGCATAATCAACAGTGTTCTTCCAAAAGAACTGAACCCTTCACAAGAATTCGCTTGAGACAGTGAGTACACCTTCAGATCAGCCTTTTTCCAAAGACTGATATCAAGATCCAATCTTGACCGCTCTTGCTAGAAAGAGGAGATCGAACTGGCAGTAATGGCGGCAGCAGGAAGGAGGCAGCAAGGAGAAAACAGCTCAGTCACTAGGTGTTGTGTTCTCTCTCTGAATTTTGAATGTGTTGATTTTCTATAGCTACCGCCCCCTTCTCCTTTTATAACCTTAAAGGGATCAGCTCCTAATCCCATTAGGAGTTGCTGATCCTAATCATATTTGGATTTGAATTTCCTTTAAGAGATAAGGATAGACCCTTATCTTATCTGTAGATTAGATCAGCCCTCTCCTAATCTGATTAGGAGGTTTTCATATCTGAATCTGTATTCAGATTTGGACTCTTTGAGTGGATAGGGTCTTACCCTATCCTATCTGCTAATTTAATCTCAGATTCGCCCCCTCTTTAATTGATCAAATCAGTCCAGTTCGAAATGGGCTTTAGGCCCATTAATAGTATGTGCTCACTTAGTCTTCCAAACTGTTGTCCAGTTGGGCTTTCTTGCATAGCATGGGACCTAAGCATTGATCTACACATCAGCTACAAGGGTTTGGCCTAGCCTTTGTTACAAGGCTTAGCCGAATTCACTAGAAAGTCCAGTGAATCCCTTGAGCCTATCACAAGGACTTTATGGACCCAACACTTACACTTAATGGTCCATGGGCCAAGCCACCTTGTAACACCTAGGAACTGTGGGCAGATACAAAATTAGCCCATCAGGTATTACCCTCAATGGTCTTACACTTAACCTCTCAGCCCATAATGATCATACACTGGTGACAAGAGAGGACCTCTCACTCGGCTGCAAGGAACAGTGCTGCATTCTCTACTCACATGGATCCCGAAAATTAAAACCTTTTGCAAACAATTTGAAACCGTAACATATATATACTTTTATATCCGTATATAAAATATATTTTGCAAAACAAATCTCAACGGTTGAAATTGGCTGCCGACAGTATTGGTTTTCTTCAGAGAGAGTGCATCCCCGATCATTACCTTTGTCCGACAAAGGGGCTGATCCTGTCACTATGATCACCCACTCAGATGAATTCTCAGAATGTCCCAACATACCTAGGTTTTGACCCTCGTTAGGGATCTCACTGATTGGCATATCAAAGACAGTCCAATCCGACACCTAGTGCGGTATCATAATCGAGTCTAGGGGTCAGGTGTAACTTTATAGTTTTGCCCACTAATCTCCAAGGTCCAGGGCAATACTGGAAATCTGGTCCGATTCAGGGTTTCAAGTAAACTTACACTGCGTGTGCTTTGGGTCTCACCCTGATAGCTGAGACAGGCCACCCCAACACTTGGCAGCACACCAGTGTCAGCCTTAACAGGATAAATCACCCCAGACTTATCCAACGACTATGAACATTCTAAACTAACATGAGTCTCATTGAGTGTCAAGTTTAAAGGTATTACACAAAAACACACCATAAGAACATTAATCAAATATGCACTTTATTCATTTACAATAAATGTCATAAGTACATCAATCTGATTGGAGCTAAGGGCATACACTGTCTAACAACTCCCACTTGCACTTAGGTCCAATCTGGTACAAGCCGGAGTCCCAGACTTTCCACGTGTTTCTCAAACACTTTATGTGTCAGTGGCTTAATCAATGGGTCTGCCACATTCTCCGCTGATGCTACCTTTTAACATCAATCTCCCGTATATCCAGTGTTGTCACACAACAGTGGAATGGGTGATGTGCTGAATTCCAAATTCAAGAATGAACACCTTCATTCATAAGGCAGTCTCACTTACGGCAATGTGATCGGCTTGGGTTGTGGACTGTTATTTTTGCTACTTAGAACCCCTGTTTACTGACTTTCAGGAAACAACACACGATCCTATCGTGAAAACATACCTAGATGTAGACATTCTACCATTTGGATCTGACTGGTAATTAGTATCAGTATACCCTTGGATCTGTAGCGAGCTACCATCGAATACCAAACAAAACTCTTTTGTCCTTTGAAGGTACTTAAGTATATTTTTCACAGCGGTCCAATGCTCCTGCCCTAGGTTAGCCTGGAATCTGCTTACCACACTCACTGCTTGAGCAATGTCAGGACGGGTGCACAGCATGGCATACATGATGCTCCCTACGGCTGAGGTATAGGGAACGTTCTTCATGCCCTCAATCTCCTCAGAGGTCTTGGGAGACATTTTCTTGGAAAGAGTGACTCCGTGCCTAAAAGGAACATTTCCCTTCTTGGAGTTCTCCATGCTGTATCTCTTGACAATTTTGTCAATGTAAGCAGATTGGGATAATCCTATTATCCTCTTCGATCTATCTCTATAGAGTCGAAAACCCAGTATATAGGAGGCTTCTTCAATATCTTTCATGGAGAATTGCTGTGAAAGCCACACTTTCATCGTAGTCAACATTCCTACGTCATTCTCAATGAGTAGAATGTCGTCTACATACAGAACCAGAAACATAACCTTATCCCCACTGGACTTCCTGTAAACACAAGGCTCATCCGGGTTCTGCTCAAAGTCAAACTTTTTGACGGTAGAGTCAAACCAGATGTTCCAACTCCTAGAAACTTGCTTAAGTTCATATATGGATCTATTTAACTTACATACCATGTGTTCCTGACCCACAGCTATGAAACCTTGCGGTTGCTACATATAGATATCTTCAGTAAGATCTCCATTCAAGAACGCAATTTTGACATTTATTTGTCAAATCTTATAGTCATGGTATGCTTCTACAGCTAGCAGGATCCGAATGGATTTAAGCATGGCCACGGGCGAAAAGGTTTTCTCATAATCGATGTCCTCTTTCTAAGTGTACCCTTTCGCCACAAGACGAGCTTTGTAGGTCTCAACCTTACCATCGGGGCCCTTCTTCCTCTTATAGATCCATTTACAACCAATTGCTTTTACCTCGAGGGGCAGATCTACTAGAGTCCAAACTCCATTGGCATCCATTGAGTTCATCTTAACTCTCATGACATTTACCCACTTCAGGGAATCTATGTTCAACATAGCTTCCGCATAAGTCACGGGATCCTCCTTACTAGTCAAGGCTTTCACCAGGTAACTATCCTGGTCATAGCCAAAACGGACTGGTGGCCTAGACACCCGGGTAGATCTTCTAGGTTGGTCACTACTTGGAACCTGTGGGACACCTCCCACTGACCCTGAGCTCTCCTCATCAATAACTATTTTCTGACGGTGTGAGTCCAGGATATAATCAGTTTCCAAGAACTGTGCATTTTGGCTACAGAACACCTTCTGTTCACTTGGGTTATAGAATAGGTAACCCACAGAGCCTTTTGGGTAGCCCATGAATAGGCAACGGTTGGTGATTCCAATTTGTCCGCACTCGTTCTTTTAACGTGCGCATGACAACCCCAAATCTTCAAGTGTCTGACACTTGGTTTCTTTCCGGTCCAAAGTTTGTATGAAGTATTCGGAACCGATTTGGTTGGAACCCGATTCAGCACGTATATCGCAGTTTCTAATGCGTAACTCCAAAAGGATGTGGGTAACTCTGAGTGTACGAGAAGTGATCGGACCATATCCAATAAGGTCCTATTCCTCCTCTCTAAAACACCGTTAAGTTGTGGTGTAGTAGGAGCAGCCAACTGTGATACTATCCCGTTGATCTTCAAGTAGTCCTTGAATTCGTCAGAGAGATACTTGCCACTTCGATCCGATCGAATGGCTTTAATTTATCTTCCTAACTATTTCTCGACCTCTTGTCTGAACTCTTTGAACTTTTCAAAGGATTACACGTAACCATACCGAGAATAGTCATCGGTAAATGTAATGAAATACACGTGCTGGTTACGAGTCCTAACACTCAGGGAACCACATACATCACTATGTATAAGGTCAAGCGTGCTTGTACATCTTTCAGGCTTACCGTTAAATGGCCGTTTTGTCATCTTACTCTGAAGGCAAGGCTCACAAATGGGAAAATCTTCTACAGTTAGAAAATCCAAAGGACTATCCTTTACCAGCCTTGTGATACGGTGAACACCGATATGGCCAAGTCGGTAATGCCACAGGCACGTGGGATTAACTATATCACAGATCCTTTTCTTGGGGATATCAGCTGACGTACTTTCGGCTATGTTAGTTTCTAGAGAATGATGTAGAACATAGAGACCGTTCTCCAGTTCCCCGTATGCGATGAATATGTTGTTTCTTTTAATAGTAATCGTATTACTAAAGAAGACAAAATAACCATCAACACACAGTTTTGAGATAGAAATCAAATTTCTTCTTAAGTTTTGTACAAAAAGACAATCTTTAATTTCAATAGTTCATTCTTTAAAAAATAACTCTACGGTTCCTATGGCCACAACTGCAACACTTGTAGAAGTCCCCAAGTAAAGCGTTACTT